CAGAGGTGACACTGAAAGGAGATGAGATAACAGCCGGGCATTTAGAGGATACAGTGGATGTTGGGACTCAGGAACATGGTCATGTTCAGGAGTCTATTACAGCTAATAGACCAAGAAGAAACATTCGTCGGCCAGCTAGATATAACGATGTCATGGTTGCATATGCTTTATCAACAGAAGTCGTTGATGATTTGGTTCCTTTTACATTCAAGGAAGCAGAGTCAAGCTCTAACTCGATTAGGTGGAGGGAAGCCATGGAGGAGGAGATGCAGTCTCTTCATAAGAATGGCACTTGGGAACTTGCAAAGCTACCGAAGGGTAAGAAGGCTATTGGATGCAAGTGGGTATATGCAAAGAAAGAAGGATCTTCTATTGGGGACATTCGGTACAAAGCCAGATTGGTTGCCAAGGGTTATGCACATCTTGAGGACGTTGATTACAACGAGGTATTCTCACCTGTTGTAAAGCATTCGTCGATTCGTATTTTATTAGCATTGGTGGCACAGCTGGATTTGGATTTGGTCCAGATGGATGTGAAAACAGCCTTTCTACATGGAGATTTAGAAGAGGAGATCTACATGACACAACCTATGGGGTTCAAAGCTGCAGGAAAGGAAGAATTGGTATGCAAGCTGAAGAAGTCTCTTTACGGATTGAAGCAATCGCCGCGACAATGGTACAAGAGATTCGACGGCTTTATGATTGGCCGAGGGTACACGAGGAGCCCATATGACCCGTGTGTTTACATGCACAAGCTACAGAATGGTGAGTATATCTATTTGCTATTATATGTTGACGATATGCTCATAGCTTCCAGGAATACTTCAGCTATTAGAAAGTTGAAAAAGGAACTGTCATCCGAATTTGAGATGAAGGATCTTGGAGAAGCAAAGAAGATATTGGGTATGGAGATCGAGAGAGACAGGGTGAAGGGGAGGTTGAAGTTGACACAGAGGAGTTACTTGCAGAAGATGCTGAAGAAATTCAGTTATGATGGTAATGCCAAGGCGGTGAGTACTCCATTAGCTCCCCATTTTAAGCTATCAGCTAAGATGTCACCTGTTTTAGTTGAGGACCGTGAATACATGTCCAAAGTTCCATATGCCAATGCTGTGGATAGCTTGATGTATGCGATGATGTGTACAAGGCCAGATTTGTCACAGGCCGTGAGCATGGTATCCAGATACATGCACGACCCCGGGAAGGATCATTGGGAGGCCGTGAAGTGGATTCTACGGTATATCAAAGGTACTGTGGATGTTGGTTTGGTATTTCAGAAGAATGAGAAGAATGGGCAGGATTGTATTAGTTACGTGGATTCTGATTATGCGGGGGATCTGGACAAGCGCCGGTCTACTAGCGGATATGTGTTTACACTAGCAGGAGCACCGGTATGTTGGAGATGCACACTTCAGTCTACAGTGGCTCTCTCCACTACGGAGGCAGAGTATATGGCGTTGACTAAAGCTGTAAAGAAGGCTTTGTGGTTATAGGGATTATTGGAGAACTTGGGGATCGCACAGGAGACCCTTCGGGTATATTGTGATAGCATGTCAGCTATCTATTTGGCGAAGAACCAGGTTTATCATGCACGCACGAAGCATATCGATGTCAGATTCCATTTTGTTCGTGACGTTTTGGATGAAGGAGACGTCATGTTGGAGAAGATCCACACGAAGGACAACCCTGCAGATATGTTGACCAAAGTTGTTTCAGGTGTCAAGTTTGGTCATTGTTTGGAACTTTTGAACATTCTTCGGTGTTGAGGCCTTTCGAGGCCATTAGATGAACTACGGGCGGCTTGATTCCTTAGGCAAGAGGATACGTAGGCAGTCTTTCAGATGCAGCCATTTTGGGATTAGTTGGATTTTGATGGGGGTGAGACCGATTTGATGAGTAGATACCAACGTATGGAGAGTGGTCACATTCTTATTTGGGTTCTCGACTTGTTGTGGATTGAGTCCGTTGTTGTGAATCGTTTCACTTCGTACTGGACGCAACAAGTGAGGCATTTGGTTTGGTTGGTGTCGGCTCAGTTTTGGAAGAAACTTCACCGAGGTGGAGAATTGTGAATGTGGGGCCCATGCACGTGAATGAAGCGGGATTGCATGGGATCGCATGAGCTGAAGAAAAAAAAGAAAAGGAAGCCGCAGGCCCACCCGAAAATCGCTTCCGCATAGGCTATAAATAGCCTAGGGTTTCGTGAGAAAAATTGAAGCGGAGGAGGAAATTACATAAAGAAAAAGTCAGCTCCTTTTTCGTGGCAGCGGACAAAGTTGCAGAAGAAAAATCGAAGCTGATGTTTTAAGTTTTCTTTATGTATCTTTGAGAGAATATTTGTAAGAGGGATTTGAGAGTTTGTTTGAGAGGGTTTAGATTGTGAGATTGTAACTCTATTAGTAGATCTCCCCCTCCTTGCCCCGTGGACGTAGGCAGTTTGCCGAACCACGTAAAATTTTGTGTTCTTGCCGTGATTTGTAATAGCTTGTAGGTTCCCTCGACGCGCAGTCCTAGAACTGACGAGAGGAAGAACTGATATCTCACTTTGATGAGATATCTGGCTTTTTGGTTCTTGTTTCCTTTGAGAAACGAGAATTCCATTGTGATCTAATCTCTTGTTGTGCACCTTGCGCACCGGAGGTGCTGCCAAAATTTCCGCTTTGTGATCTAATCTCTTGTTGTGCACCTTGCGCACCGGAGGTGCTGCCAAAATTTCCGCTGCGCACAACAGTATTGATGTCTGAATTTTCTCCTGGGACTGTTGCGCCTGCTAAAGTGAGCTGTCTCATAGTTTTCCCTTGTGAGATATCTTATGCATATGCATAAAATGTATAACCATTAGTTTAGTACGTGCCTGAGGAGTTGTGATACCTGTCTATTGTGATCGACCGTCACAGTTTTTCTCAGGCGATGAACTTTTTGGGTTTTTGAGTATAAACTTGGACTCAAGAAGTTCAATGCAAGTGATGGGTATATATCCAACTTCTGCTGGAAGTAGGCTACTTTGTTTATTTATCCTGCGTCTGCTGGATTCATATTTCACATAAGTGTGTGCTATTTCTCTTCCATACACTGGTAATCTGAAGGTAAGTGATGAGATAGAGAAAGAAGCTCAAAATGAATTAAGAAAACAAAATCCATAAAATAAGACAAAACTAATAACCATGATTTGGACATAAAAACCGATAGGCAGGTAAAAGGAATTATTGACGGGATGCTCTTTTCTCTGCTCATGTGCGCAGGAGTAAGAAACGCATGATTCTGTTCACGGAGAAGCAAAGCAAACGGCTGAAGACCAAACCGGCTTTTAGCGTTACACTAATTTTACGTTACAACAATAAAATAAAGCAATCAAGAGTCAAAAATTTTCCACCTATTGCTCTGCATGCAGCCTTTTCAACTCTCTGCCAACCTTTTGTTAAGGCCCCCCATCAGCTCCTTAACCCAGTGCCTTCGTCCTCAAATAACATGTGGTTTTGACCGGTAAGAGTTAAGGTGGGAGTACATTTGTGCTCACTGACGGTGACCATATCACTCACACTCAAGCGTAGAACATGGCGGGAATCTCCTGAAAGCCCAACGGCTAACCTTGTCCTCTACCTACTTAAAAGGCGAGTTCTTTCACTGCCCAAAACACCCTTCCTTAACTTGCTCGATCACCTCATAAATACCTTTGTCATCAGAAGGGCATTCTGGTCATTTCACCTCAAATGGAAGCATTCCCTCAGTTTGTGCCCATAACTTACTGCCTCAAAAGGAAACTTCAGCTCCTTCATTTCCCTCTCCTTCCTGTCTTTACTCAAGAGTGATGAAGATGAATAGTGGTCCTTCACTAATTCTCTTCTTCGCTGTTATATTCCAATTTCGATTACTCCTATCTTCTTCCCCTCCATTCTCATGTGATCCTTCGAATCCTCTATCGAAGATCCATTCATTTTGCAACTCAACATTGCCCATTAGCGATAGAGCAGAAGATCTCATCTCTCGTCTAACTTTAGAGGAGAGGATAGCTCAATTGGGTGATATCGCGCCTCCAATTGATTGGTTGGGTGTTCCGGGATACAAATGGTGGTCGGAGTCCCTCCACGGGGTGTCCACCTCGGGCAGGGGGATTCACTTCAATGGCTCGATTCATTCTGTTACAAGTTTTCCTCAAGTTATCCACACTGCTGCATCTTTCAATACTCAACTCTGGTACCAAATTGGGCAGGTATAAACTAAGTTGGGTCAATCTAATTTGGTAATTGAGTTTATAGTACTAGTGCCATGTAGTGGACATCATGATCTAATGATAAATTCTTGATTAAAAAAAAAGTTCTCGGGTTTTATGGTCTAGGGAAACGAAGGGAGTCCATGTAATTATAAGAGGAAAAGTGTGGAATGCAAAAAATGGTTACATAGTAAAACTTGATATCAAGAGGTATACAAGAACACGACGAAGCTAGCATTTTCCCACCAGAATACTTGAACCAAAATTTGCAAGCCTTCTGGCTGAGTTGTGGATGATTTCTGTTTGAAAGGATTGCCCATAAAGATATGTAGGTTTTTGCTCTTTCCAGGTTAATCAGAAGATCCCCATCACAGCAAAGTTTCACTCCTTTTGGTGATAAACGCGAAATCTGAGCCAAACAAATCCACGCATTTTTCTACCAAAATGAGCTTGATTATGAGCAAATTCCATATTATCACAACATCTGAGGCCTATTTTCTACTTAAAAGCATTTATGTTTCATTTATTGACATGAAACCACTTTTCATCTTATTCCATATCCATGTATTTTGAACTGTATCATGAAGAAGAACTGGGTTTGACTATTCTACGTTTACAACCATAAGGATTAGTGCGTTTGACTCGAAATTCTGCTTCCTTGTAATTTCCAAATTTTGTTTCATTTGAAGGCAATTGGAGTAGAAGCTCGGGCAATGTTCAATGCTGGGCAGGCAGAGGGGCTAACATTCTGGTCGCCGAACATAAACATATTTAGAGACCCAAGATGGGGACGAGGCCAAGAGACACCTGGGGAGGACCCAATGATGGCTGGAAAATATGCAACCTACTATGTAAGAGGACTTCAGGGTTATTCTTCTGATGGAAATAACTCTGAAGGGCTTAAGGTTTCAGCTTGTTGCAAGCACTTCACGGCTTATGATATGGACAACTGGAAGGGAAAAACTAGATACACGTTTAATGCTGTGGTAAAATTTTATCTAATTTTGTCAGAAAATGGAATTACTTTTGGTTCGGTTTTAAGAATTGGATTTAATTCTTTGTTTCAGGTATCGATACAGGATTTGGAGGATAGTTTTCAGCCTCCTTTCAGGAGTTGTATTGAAGAGGCTCGAGCTAGTGGAATTATGTGCTCTTACAATCAAGTTAATGGAGTACCAATGTGCTGATTACAACTTTCTAACAAAAACTGCAAGGGATTCTTGGGGTTTTGATGGGTAAGATCTTAAGACAGTTATATCACTTATTTGTGACCACTTCAATTGTTTTCTTTCAAATTCAATTTCTGTTGGCTGCATATTGGATGTTAGGCATACCACAACTAATATATTTCTATATCACTAAATCCTATTTTGCGATGAAAACAGGTACATCACTTCAGACTGTGATGCGGTTTCAATCATCCATGATGCTCAAGGATATGCAAGCACACCAGAAGATGCTGTTGCAGATGTTCTCAAAGCCGGTATGTGCAATATTCATACTGCCATCTATCTCCTATGTTTATTTAGATGAGAATTTTTGGGTGTTATAAATTCAATCACTACTTGATGAATCATTTCTTCGCTTGTCATATGATTAAAGCTTATCTCAGGAATGGATGTGAATTGTGGTAAATATGTTCAGAAGTATGCAGCCTCAGCTGTCCAACAAGGAAAGCTTTCAGAGTCTGACATAAACCGAGCACTTCACAACCTCTTCTCAATAAGAATGAGGCTCGGTCTCTTCAATGGAGACCCAAGAAACCATCTTTATGGAAAATTCTCTTCCACTGATGTCTGCACAGAGGAGAACAAGTTCTTGGCTCTTGAAGCAGCAAGAGAAGGCATAGTCCTACTAAAGAACTCAGGCCATCTCCTACCTCTGAAAAAATTAAAGACAACTTCCCTCGGTGTTATTGGCCCTAATGCAAACATTGTCATGTTAGGGAATTATGCAGGGCCTCCTTGTAGTTCCATAACTCCTCTTGAGGCACTCCAGAGCTATGTTACAGATACAAAATTTCTGCAGGGGTGTGAGGATGTGGCTTGTGTTGATGTCTCAATTGATGAAGTTGTACAATTGGCAAAGTCAGTAGACCAAGTTGTTATGCTCATGGGGTTGGATTTAACTGAAGAGAAGGAAAAGCTTGATAGAGTGGATTTGGTGCTGCCAGGTAAACAGCAAATGCTAATAACAACCGTGGCGAGAGAAGCAAAGAAGCCAGTGATATTGGTGCTACTTTGTGGTGGTCCTGTGGATGTTAGTTTTGCAAAGGATGATGAGAATATAGGAGGGATGTTGTGGGCTGGTTATCCCGGTGAAGCTGGTGGACTGGCAATTGCTGATGTTATCTTTGGTGAACATAATCCAGGTGAAAAACTGAAAATCACTTCGCTGTTTGGATTATCTTTCAACTTTTCAAATAAGAAGTTCAACTAACTGAGAACTTGGTTAATTCACAGCTAAAATTTGCACAGCAAAAAAAGATAAATTAAATGTTAGTAGCTGAAAGAGTAAATCAAAAGTTTGATACACATTCATAGAACAGAAAACAATATGTGTACCAATTCTGTAGTTTTTTTAGTGTTGGCGATACACAGAGACACATGTATTTAGTTATTCGTACTGATAAAATAAAGATCACTTATTTGGTATAGGAAGGATTATGATTGATGAACACTATGGGGTCTGCTATGAAATTTGTGCATTTCACTTATTAATATTGACGTTATGATGATATATCTTTCAAAATCTAAGCGACAGTCTAATCCTGTATCTCCTTGACTGAACTATCTCCATGACTGAATTCTTTTGTATCAATATTCATCTTGAAGTTAAGTTATTTAACTCCCTAGGTTAAATATGGGGCTGTTTCCTTTGTTCAAGTTCAAACCTTGGAGAGGATCATGGTCTGTTCCAAGTAAACAACAATTGTATTTGTCCAATTTATGACACTAAATAAGCATGCAGCAAATTTAAGATCTATGGTGCATTGTTAGTACTTTAAACTTCTAAAGGTCTGGATGATATCACAGGGGGAAGACTACCGGTTACATGGTACCCACAAGACTTCACAAATGTGGCGATGACCGACATGAGGATGAGAGCAGACCCTGCCAATAAATATCCAGGACGAACCTACCGGTTTTTTACAGGCAAACCGGTTTTCGAATTTGGCTATGGCCTGAGCTACTCCACATTTTCTTATGAGTTCACCTCTACAACTCAGAGAATCCTCCGCATGAACGAAACAATCAGACTCCAAGCTGTCAAGGATTCACAAAAAAACATTAGCTATGATATATCAAAATTGGGATCTGAACAGTGTCAGAAACTGAAATTTTCTGCTGCAGTGAGAGTTAATAATCACGGTCCAATGGATGCAAAGCATTCAGTGTTGCTGTTCTTGAGAAGGGATTATGTACGTGGTGGAGCGCCGAGGAAACAATTGATTGGGTTCGAGAATGTGCACTTAAAGGCTAGAGACAAATCAGATGTCGAGTTTGATATAAACCCATGCAAGCATTTGAGCAGGATTGAGGAAGATGGAAGGATGTTGGTTGATGAGGGGCCTCATTTCTTGATGGTGGGAGATAAGGAGCATGAATTTAGCATAACGGGTTAAGCTTGGTCGTAGGAGAGCTCAAAAGGATGTTTCCTGAATAATGCACTCAAAAGAATTTAACTCTTTTTGAACAGGCAGATAATTTGCTAGATATGGCTCTAGTTAATCTATCAAGTGTACATGATGTTGGTTTTGTCATGGTTGATCTTTTTCTCCAAGAGTTTAAGCTTGGTTGTAGGAGATCAATACTTTAGTACAGCTGTTACTTTTATTCAACTTAATCCTAGATAGTATTGTACGCAGTAGAAATTTCAGCAGCACTTCGACAACACAACAAAAGAGTTAGGTCGCTATAGGAATTCCCGTTTCACAAAGGAAACAAGAACCTTAAGTAAAATATCTTAACCAAGAGGGATATCAGCTCTTCCTCTCATCAGTTCTAAGATTGACCCGTCTAGCGAACCTAAATAAGCTATTACAAATCACACAAAAGCGAGACAAACTAATTTTTTTACGTGGTTCAGCAAATTGCTTACGTCTACGGGGCAAGGAGGGGGGAGATCTACTAGTAAAGGGAGAGAATACAAATAGGGTTTACAATCACACAACTTAAACCCTCAAACAATCTCTCAGATCCCTCACAATCTCTCACTCAAAAGGATGCAAAAACCCTCTCAAATTCGACACAAAAGACTGCTCTAAATCTCCTCAACACAGCCGTAATTCTTTTCTTCTGCCGCTGGCGCTTTTCTCCTGCAGCTGAAAAAATTCACAACCGAAAGAAATTGACAAACCTCCTTTGCACCAAACCCTATGCTATTGTTTTCGGCGTGCATTTATAAGCACGAACAAAACCAAATCTCGGGTGGGCCTTCGTTCACATGACCTCTTCACAACTCGTGGCCCCACAAGCATCACACGGTTAACAATTTGGGTGGGCCTTCGTTCACGTCCACGAAAAGAAAAAACACCCGATGTACATGTACCTGATGCACATGTACCTCGGGTGGGCCAGGTTTGTTCATGCTTCAATTGGTGGGTGTGGCCCCCACGCCCCACAGATAGTACCTGAACAGCTTATGATTCTTCAAGTGATCATGTTGAGCATATCAAAGGGTAATTTTTTTTCCAATGTAAATTAGTTACCTAGGACATTACAAAAAGTATTAAGATGATAGAGACGATTGTGGAGGAGAACTTGGAAAAAGCAGTTTTTGGTCATAAGTCGACTCATGCACAGGCATAAGTCGACTTATGGTAAGTCGACTTATGTTTGTGTCGTAAGTCGACTTACGATCTGCTCTGAATTGTTGATTTTGGGCTCTGGCAAGTCGACTTATCAGGTCTGATAAGTCGACTTATGATCTCTTCTCCAGTTGTCGTTTTTCGTTCTGCCAAGTCGACTTATGCAGACTGATAAGTCGACTTACGACAGGTTTTTTGGAAAGTTCAGGTTCCTATTTGCAGTCTGTTTGAGTTTCTGTTTTGGTATAAATACCAATACGATTTGAGGATTTTGTAGGAGCGTTTTGGGGGATTTTGAGCACAAAAAGAGAGATCTTTCTGAGCTATTTGTTAGAGTTATTGGTTGAGAGGTTGAGAGATTTGTTGGTGAGATTAGTTGGTTCGTTTGAGCGATTTGTAATCTCAATTTGTACTCTCCTTCTCTATTAGTGGAAACCCTCCCCCTTCTTGCCCCGTGGAAGTAGGCAATTGCCGAACCACGTTAAAATTGGTGTTTGGTTTGTGCATTGATATTTGGTTATTTTTGGCCTTCTTGGATTGGCGTTTGTTTTGGTTCCTCGGCACCGCCGTCAGCACAACAAGTGGTATCAGAGCTCGGGCTACGCTTGGGCTATTTAGAGGAGTATATCGCTTTGGAAGTTCATCTAGGGCTTCGTTTGGTGATAAAGGTGGGATCTTTTTTTGGTAAAAATCTCGTCTTTTTCAGTTTGGATCTATTTCTCGTTTGTTTCCGCATTGGTTTGGTGGTGCCTTGAGGATTATGGCCGAGAAAGAAGGAGTTGTGGGCAGTACTTCCGGCGTGAAGACCGTCCAAAGCTTGAATATCCACTCAATGAAGATTGATGTGGAAAAGTTCAATGGCACAAACAATTTTGGACTTTGACGATGCGAAGTCATGGATGCGCTCAACGCGCAAAATTTGGAAGATACGTTGGAGTTGGACGGGAAACCGGACAATATTGATGAGAAGGTTTGGAAAAAGATGAATCGAACGGCGTGTGGTGTGATTAGGTCTTGTCTCACTTAAGATCTAAAGTATGATGTGATCAATGAGACTTCTGCAAAGAAGATTTGGGAGATCCTTGAGAGCAAGTATTTGACCAAGAGTGTGGAGAATCGCTTGCATTTGAAGAGGAGGCTTTACCGCTTCCAGTTGAAGAAAGGAACATCCATTGGTGATCACATGAACCACTACACGAAGCTTCTTGCGGATTTGGCGAATGTAGATGTGGTGATTGAAGATGAGGACAATACGTTGTTGTTGTTGAGTTCCTTGCCCGACGAGGAATATGAGACCTTCGTTCTTACTCTTATTAATGGGAAGACATCTCTTTCGTATAGTGAGGTCACCGATGTACTTGTGAATTATCAGCTTCGAAAGAAGGATAATGAGAATTCGATTGAGCCGGTAGCGGGGACGTTGGTCGCAAGAGCAAATGGTCCAAACCATAATGGGAGGTCGCAGTCTAGAGGGGCACATCTTGGAGTTCGTAAGAATCAGTGTGCCTTTTACAAAGAGGATGGACATTGGAAAGCCGAATGCCCAAAGTTAGTTGATCGAGCCGGGAAGAATAAGGGAAAATCTATTCAAGCTTCAGAGGCGAATGTTGTCAAGGCAAATAGCAACGATTCAGATTCGGATTCTTCGGGCTACTCGTTATCTACACTGCCGTCAGTTTATGTTGCCTACTCTACAGAGTGGATGTTGGATTCGGGGGCTACATACCACATTTGCCCTAGGAGGGATTGGTTCTCTAGCTTTCAGGAGTTGAAAAAAGAGGATTTCGTACTCATGGGGAATGATCACAAATGCTCTATTGGTGGTATCGGTACCGTTCGGATCAGGATGAGTGACGGGGTGATTCGGGAGTTGGTTGGAGTGAGGTTCGTTTCTCAGTTGAAGAAGAACATCATTTCACTTGGAGCTTTGGAGGCAGTAGGCTATAGGGTGACCTTGGCGGATGCACGCTTGAAGGTTACATTTGAGTCCATGATTGTGATGAAGGGCGTCAGAAGAAGAAATTTGTATTATTTGCACGGAAGCACGGTGATTGATAGGGAAATGACGACTTCATCAGATTCGGCTAGACTGTGGCATCATGGGTTGTTGAGGAGTGCTTTGACCTTCAGATTGAAGTCCTGTGAGCACATTGGGATGAGCAAGACCGTGGTGGAGTTTGGCACTCCTATCCATCGAGCGAGGGGTCTTTTAGGAGGTGTTCAGTCAGGCATTTGGGGGCCTTCCAAGGAGGCATCATTGGGAGGTAATCGTATCTTGGTTTTCGCAGTTGATGATTGTTCTAGGCATTATTGGGTCGCGACCAGTTCCCGTTGGTGTAAAGTCCTAGAAATCAACAACAATTGGAAGAAGTGTATTGACAGAAAGGTAACTCGTTGTTCTAGATTTGGTAGGGGTCCTTTCTTGCGTTTGTGCCGAGCTCCCGGCAATAGGAGACACTTCATTGGTGTGGAGACTTTGGGGCGACGAGATGAGATGACAGTTTCGATGGGTCGTTCCTTTCTGGAGGAGGATCGGCGTTTGATGTCGAGCATTGGCATTGGTGTGCGGGCTTCGACATATTTGGGTCATCTTATGCATAGGTCGCCGACTGCTGCTTTAGGAGTTATTAGATCTGGTGGAGCTGCTTCAGATTTTGGGTCGCGTCGGATATTTGGATACCCAGCATTTGGTCACATCGTGGATGTGAGATTGGATCCGATTGCGCGTTTGGGGTTCGGAGGCTCAGTTGATTATCGTTTGGGAGCTTCTGATTTTGTTCTGAGCAGGTATGTCACTTTTGACTCTCGTTGATCAGGTCGTTTGGATATCGTAGCAGGTGGAGAGTGATGCTACTCCACGTTGGGTGGAGATTACTCCACGTACTCCAGATCATACTGCATTATTTGGGATTCCAGCTGAGGTGACACAGGTTGGGGATCATTTGATTTTGGATGCAGATGATGGATTGGTTTTGGATTCGGTTGCAGCTGGTGGACATGATTTGGATACGACCATTAGTTCACCTCATATGGAGGTGTTTGATTTGTATCAGTTTGGGGCCGCTATCAGTTGCAGATCCGTCGGCGATATTAGGGAAGAGTTGTATACTTTTCTATTTGTTTGAGGGTCTTTGGAGGCCGTTTGGGTGAACTACGTGAAGACTTGATTCCTTGGGCAAGAGGATACGTAGGCAGTCTTTATGATGCAGCCGATTTGGTGAGCGACATCGACATTTGGGGTGAGTGTTCGCACTCCTATTTGGGTCTCAACATGTGAGGCATTTGTTTGGTTGGTGTCGGCTCAGTTTAAGGAAAACTTCGCCGAGGTGGAGAATTGTGGAGGAGAACTTGGAAAAAGCAGTTTTTGGTCATAAGTCGACTCATGCACAGGCATAAGTCGACTTATGGTAAGTCGACTTATGTTTGTGTCGTAAGTCTACTTACGATCTGCTCTGGATTGTTGATTTTGGGCTCTGGCAAGTCGACTTATCAGGTCTGATAAGTCGACTTATGATCTCTTCTCCAGTTGTCATTTTTCGCTCTGCCAAGTCGACTTATGCAGACCGATAAGTCGACTTACGACGGGTTTTTTGGAAAGTTCAGGTTCCTATTTGCAGTCTGTTTGGGTTTCTGTTTTGGTATAAATACCAATACGATTTGAGGGTTTTGTAGGAGCGTTTTGGGGGATTTTGAGCACAAAAAGAGAGATCTTTCTGAGCTATTTGTTAGGGTTATTGGTTGAGAGGTTGAGAGATTTGTTGGTTCGTTTGAGCGATTTGTAATCTCAATTTGTACTCTCCTTCTCTATTAGTGGAAACCCTCCCCCTTCTTGCCCCGTGGACGTAGGCAATTGCCGAACCACGTTAAAATTAATGTTTGGTTTGTGCATTGATATTTGGTTGTTTT